TGGCGCTGTGGCTCAAGTGGTAGAGCACTACCCTTGAGGTGAAGATCTCAGAGACAGTCTCAGAGACAGCACCCAGGCCCAGAGTTCAAGCCCCACAACCAACCAAAAAAAAAAGTTTTATATTCTCCCTTTTTTTTTAATTTTTCTTTTTCTTTTCTTTCTTTCAGGTATGTGTGTGTTCCTAGGGTCTAAACTCATTGGCACCATATTGCTAAGTGGAAAAAGTCATCTCCAACAGAACAGGAAGTTACATTCCTTCACTGCTGTGTTCTCAGCATGTGAAACATCGTCTGAATGTGTGGGCAAAGCAGAGTTCAAGAAACATTGGGTGAATTAACAGAAGGAAAATAGAGGTCCTTCCTCTCATCCTGAGTTATAAGAAAGCAGGGCCGGTGGTGCATATTGTAACCCCAGCACTCCGGATCCTGAGGCAAGAGGATTGCTGGCTGTAGACCAGGCCTAGGCTACATTGTGAGGTCTTACCTCAAAAATAAAGAAAATGACCAGGTGCCAGCGGCTCTCGCTGGTGACCCACTGACACCCACCGGGCTTCATTTATTACTTTTTTTTTGGGGGGGGGCAGTCCTGGGGCTTAAACTCAGGACCTGGGCACTGTGCCTGAGCTCTTCAGCTCAAGGCTAGTGCTCTACCTCTGGAGCCACAGCGCCACTTCTGGTTTTCTGGTGGTTTTTATTGGAGATAAGGGTCTTGTGGACTTTCCTGCCCCTGCTGGCTTTGAATGGAGATTCTCAGATCTCAGCCTCCTGAGTAGCTAGGATTACAGGAGTGAGCCACCAGAGCCCAGCATACTTCCGTTTTTGTTGGTTAATTACATGTAAGAGTTTATGAACTTCTCTGCTCAAGATGGCTTCAAATTGTGATTCTCAGGTCTTTGCCTCCTGAATAGCCAAGATTAATAGGCAGAAGCCACCAGTGCAAAGGAGTTGTTAATAGGTCTTTTAAGGCAAGTGTTGATGAGGTCATGGATTCACTTCCCCAAGCTGACAGGAACTGCTACTTTCTGGTTTCTCTTTTTCCATGACATGATATACTAAATACATTAACTTTTAATGAATTGGATCAAAGTTCATATAATGCCAAACCTAGAACTAACAGTTAAGCCCAAGGAAACTAACACTTATCCCAATTTCATCCCTGCTCAGACAGTTTGCCATCTTACCTTGTGGGCCTCAGACACATCCCCTAAATCCTCCATCCCCTCTTTAATGACCTGTGTGGATCGTGAATATTCATAGTTCTGGGCTCAGTGGTTCCCTGAGCCTAACTCACAGCTCTCCTTCTGGCTTATTCTGGTGGTTAATTGGAGATAAGACTCTCAAGACTATCCTCTCCAGGCTGGCTTTGAACCCCAATCTCTTCAAGATTAACAAACCGGGCGCTGGTGGCTCACACCTATAATCCTAGCTACTCAGGAAGCTCAGATCTGAGGATACCAGTTAGAAGCCAGCCCAGGCTGGAAAGTCCATGAGATTCTTGCCTCCAATTAACTACCAGAAAACCGGAAGTGAAGCTGTGGCTCAAAGTGGTAGAGCCTTGAGCAAAAAAAACCTCAGGAATAATGTCCAGGCCCTGAGTTCAAGCCCACAACTGAGAGAGAGAGAGAGATTAACAATACAATAATAAAATTGGGCTCTGGTGGCTTATTACTATAATCCTAGGTAATCAGGAGACTGAGATCTGAAAATCCTGTTCAAAGCCAACCCAGGCAGAAAAGTCTGTGAGTCTTTTATCTCCAATGAACCAACAACAAAAAAGAAAACAGAATGATTAAAAACATATGTAGGGAAGTGGTGCTGTGGCTCAAGTGGTAGAGTCCTCACCTTGAGCTGAAGAGCTGAGGGACAGCGCCCAGGCCCAGAGTTCAAGCCCCACGACTGACCAAAAAATAAAAATAATAACCCCTGTTTTCACATATTTGAAAAAAAAAAACTTATGTAACAGGGCATAGTAGCTCAGTTCTATAGTCTCAGCCACTTGGGAGCTGAGGCAAGATTGTTCCAGCTCAAGAACTTGAGGTCAGAGACTAGGAAGGTGGCTCAGTGGTAGAGCGCTTGCCTTGCATGCATGAGGCCCTGGGTTCGATTCCTCAGCACCACATAAGCAGTTTGCTGGAAGTGGCGCTGTGGCTCAAGTGGTAGAGCACTAGCCTTGAGCTGAAGAGCTGAGGGACAGCGCCCAGGCCCAGAGTTCAGGCCCCATGACTGACCAAAAAAAAAGAAAAGGATTTGAGGTAAAAAAATAAGGAGGCAGGGAGGGGGAGGCTGCGTACAATGACTCACGCCTGTAATTCTAGCTACCTGGGAGGTGAGGTCAGGAGGAGGAGGTGAGGTCAGGAGGAGGAGGTGAGGTCAGGAGGAGGAGGTGAGGTCAGGAGGAGGATTGCAGTTTGACTTTAGTCCTGGGCAACAGTTACAAAACTGGAGTGAAAAATAATGAAAGCAAAAAAGAGTAGGAGCATTGTTCAAGTGATTAAGTGCCTGCCTAGTAAGCATGGCAACCTGAGTTCAAACCCAGTAGTACCAAGAAAAGGGAGAGAGCAGCAGCCAGTGACAGAGCACTCGCCTAGAATGTGTAAGACCTTGGCTTCCATCCCCAGCATGCAGACAAATAAATACATTTTAAAAAGAAAAGAGAAGAGAAAAGAAAGTAGCTGGGGCCAGGCGCCAGTGGCTCACGTTTGTAATCCTAGCTACTCAGGAGGCTGAGATCTGAGGATCATGGTTTACAGCCAGCCCAGGCAGGAAAGTCCATGAGACTCTTTTTTTTTTTTGGGGGGGGGTCCGGTCGTGGGGCCTGAACTCTGGGCCTGGGTGCTGTCCCTCAGCTCTTCAGCTCAAGGCTAGCGCTCTACCACTTGAGCCATAGCACCACTTCCGGCTTTTTTCTTTTTATGTGGTGCTGAGGAATCGAACTCAGGGCCTTGAGCATGCAAGGCAAGCGCTCTACCACTGAGCCACCTTCCCAGCCCTCCATGAGACTCTTATCCCCAATAAACCACTAAAATACCAGAAGTGGTGCTGTGGCTCAAGTGGTAGAGCACTAGCCTACCATGGAAGAGCTGAGGGACAGCGCCCAGGCCCAGATTTCAAGCCCCATAACAGACACACACACAAAAAAAAAAAAAAGAAAAAGAAAAGAAAGAAAGTACCTGGGTCTGGTAGTTCATACCTGTAGTCCTAGCTACTCAGGAGGCTGAGAGTCCTGAGGATCACAGTTCAAAACCAGCCCAAGCAGAATAGGTGGTGAATCTCCAGTTAACCACCAAAAAAAGCTGGAAGTAGAGCTGTGGATCCCAGGCCCTAAATTCAAACTCCAGGATGGCACCAAAAACAAAAGCACAACTAATGGGTTTGTCTATTTCTGGAATTCTCTATTTAATATTTTTAGATGATCATATGCAACTGAACTCCAGATAGGGTAGTATGACTATAGAGGTGAAAATCACCTAAGCTAGAGAGATGCTCTGGAAGAAAAAAAGCTTATCAATTTACAAAAGAAATGTGGAAAACACGCATAAGATATATTTTCAAGCCAGGGACCAGTGGCCCATGCCTGTAACCCTAGATATTCAGAAGGCTGAGATCTAGGGATCAAGATTTGAAGACAGCCCAGGCAGTAAAGTCTGGAGACTCTCCAATTAAACATGGAAAAGCTGGAATGAAGTTGTGGCTCAAGTGGTAGAGTGCTAGCCATGAGCACAAAAAAGTTGAGTGAGGGTTAAAATCCTGAGTTCAACTCCTATTTCTAGTATGATTACGTAGATACAAATACAGAGGAAACAGACTTGAAAATATATTGGTAGTAGTTTGGGAGGTGCCCGGAAGAATGATGAAAGGCGTGACATCAATCCAGATGCATTGTATTTATAGACTGACGTGTTAGATTATAATCCCTTTGTATGACTAAAGATAATAAAATAAATGGCATGCTTAAAAACAAACTTGGTGGTAGAGTAGAGACCACACCACATGGGGGCGCATTAGACTTGTTTTATATTTGTGCTTACAATTTTCTCAGGAAGCTTGGATTTCTAGCTACTCCAGTGGCCACTCCAGGCACCAAGCTTGGCCAGATAGGCAAGTCTGGTAAAACACCATGCTGGAGGCATGGCTCAAGTAGAAGAGGGCCAGCCAAGCAAGCAGAGACAGACTCTTAGGTATAAACCCTAATACAAGCAGGGAAAAAATAAACAAAAACCCTCTGTACACTCGGATCTTAAGAACTCATCTGGAGGTCTGGGGGCACGAATTAAGGGGCTGGGCACGTGTCTAGTCAGGGCGAGGATTTAACTTCAAATCAGAACCACCAAGTGTGTGTGTGTGTGTGTGTGTGTGTGTGTGTGATCTGTGCTGGCTTTACCCTCACCTTTTTTTTTTTATGGTTCCGTTGGCTTTATTTTAATTAATAAGTTTTTTTAATAGTGAAAATACCGTACAGAGGGGTTACAATTACAAGAGCAAGGTAATGAGTACATTTCTTTTTTTTTAAATTTTTTATTGTGAAAATACTGTACAAAGGGGTTACAATTAGATGGGCAAGATAATGCCTCCTCCTTTGTTTCCCCTTCCCATCGCTGCCCTCCCATTCTCCTCCCCTCCCTCCCCCCCACCCCACCCCCACTCTTTCTAAGTGTAGATTACTCAGTCATTGGGACTGCGAGCTTTTGGAAAAACGGACATGATGATCGTGCACTACCGTACTCATCCTGCAGGTGGAGCTCCGAGCTACGCGCCATTAAAGGCGGCAACCTTTAAGGTTTAGTCTGGCCTCGAGACTCCGCCTCTTTCGACGCGTCAAATACTCGCATACGCACGTTTAGCGGAACTACATCTCCCAGGAAGCTTTTCGCTTTGCAACGGGGGCGGGGCTTAACAGCGGAAGACTACATTACCCAGTGACATCCCGCGGGAAACATTGGCAGGCCTGTCGGAAGCTGAGCGATGATTGGTCTAGAAGCCCGTCAGTTATTGGCAAGCACAGTTAAGTTTTGCTGTTAGCCGGCGTGAAGGGCGAGAGAGCTGAGTCCCGGGAGCCCGTCCAGTCCGGTGAGTGACCTCTGCTTTTCTCTCCGGGTCCCCTCGGGCCGAGGCCTGCGCCGACTCCCCGGCGCGGACGGCGGCGGGACGGGGTGGGGGGCGGGCATCCTCGGGCAGGTACACACGCGGGGACGGTGACACGCTCACGTGGCGCACCTGGCCTGCGAGGCATCCTCGGAGGTGAGACTCCGCATCCCCC